AAAAATAACAATAATAATAATAATAATAACAATAATAATAATAATAATAATAATAATAATAATAATAATAATAATAATAACAACAACAATAATAATAATAATAATAATAATAATAATAATAAAAACACAATATTTAGTATAATAATAAAAATAATAAGAGTAAGAATAATAATATAATAATAATAATAATAATAATAATAATTAATAACAACAACAATAACAATAATAACATTAATAATAATAATAAAAAATAAAATAAATCATAAAAATCATAATAATAATAATAATAATATAATAATAATAATAATAATAATTATTATTACTATAAGAATTATAATAATAATACATCACAATACATCATACAGTAATGACAAAATAATAAAGTAATTAGGATAAAGCTTAGTATTAATAAATAAAAAAATAAATAAACAAATAAAAATAAAAATGAATAATAAAATAATCAAATAAAAAAATAAAAATAAATAAAAAAAATCATTAATAAAATAAAATATAAATAATAATGGTACTCATAACAACAATACTACATACTGTAATTTGTTACATGCTTTAATTGCCTTTTCAATACTGAAAACCAAACAGATATGAGTTATAAATAAATTGTAACTCCTATAAATGAGTTTCAATGCAAAAATCAAGCAAAATTCAAACCCCTAAAGCTATAGCTCAACCCCTTGGATTGGAATGACATGATCATCACACTATGAAAACTGGTTGAGTGCCAGGTGAGGTGAACATGCTCTTACAAAAAATTTGTCTGAGGACCAGGTGACAGAAATGATTTGCCATTTGTGCACAAAGCTTCTGGAGGGTGATTAGACTGGGTGGGCATTTAGGAAAAAGGCTCTTGCATTATTCCTATTAGTAAATGAGTATGCAATGTACTATCCAAGAGCCATGGCTGGAGGAGCATCGGCTCCAGAGAGGACACTATTTCCATGCTCCAGGATCCTATTCTTGCCCATCTTGACCAGCAGCACAGGCTGTATTACAAAAAATTTACTACTATGGAAGGTAAGACACTAAAAGCAAAATGTTACCTAAAGTTATTATCATTGCACTGAGTTATGAATAACCTAAAGAGATAATATGGGATCTATGCAAGGAAAACAGTCTATTACTGTATGAATACAGCATATCAAATAACAAATATTGACACAAGATAATGGCAAAAAAATAAAAAGTGCTAACAAAGAAAAAGAGATAATAACATTGCAAATGGGAGGCAAGGAGTCTTGACACCACACAAGTGTTTGTGTACGCTGGTCCTACAAGCCCCATACGCCTGTGAGAGTGGCCACTTAAGTAAGCCTAATGCCTAGATTTTGGGCCACATGTGGGCAGCAAAGCACCCAGATCCAAGGGGTTAACTAGCTTCATCTGCCTGGGACTTGAGTTCAGGATTATCGCCATTTTAACCTAGCCTCAACACTATACAAGCTGGGCCTAGAGTATTCAAAAGGGACTGCACCCACTTA